CGGAAGAACTCCGCGCCAGTCCCCGCGCGCCGTCCTGCGACCGCAAGCCGTGCCCCTCCTGCGCTGCGCGACGCGCGGCAGAGCTGCTGGAAGGGCTGGCTCTCCCCACGGCACCTTGCCTGCTGTCGCTCCCCGCTGCTGCGTGGCTTACTGCCTACTTTCTCATGAAGTTTATGAACGTAGCTTTAATTGACAATGCCATGCCGATACATTTTTAATTACTGTTTCAACAATATAATTAAGCATTGAATTTATGCACGGTTGCAAGCAGAGTGCCGTGCTTAGCTGCAGTGACAAACTCTGATAGCAATGAACCCACTAATTGAAACAGTATGTAGCTTAGGATGCCTTCAGCTGCACGATATTACCATTACTAGTATGATAGTATTAAAAATCGTAACAAAAGACGCAGTTTTCAGGTTCAAGATACAACAGTTCTGCACATACCAGTTAAAAGAAAAGCGATCACCGAGTTACGTGTTTCAAATTTGTGCTAGAATAATTGTTGTGTAGCAACGAAATTGTTCCCAACTCAGTCTGCGCACACGTGGGGAAACACATTCTTGGTGAGAGACCTGGAGTTAGGACCTGTAGCTTGCTTGAACTGCAAACTACCATAAAGGTGAAGAGGTCCCGTGCTGAGTGTTCACCCACAGGGTACTACACTGTTGATACAGGACAGTAAGAAAATGTACAAGTAACTCTGACCTGGCCGGAAAGCCCAAAGTTGAGATCTTGCATCATTTCAGACAACAACCACGTTCAATAGGTTGGACGCAGACATCTCCATCACCAAAGAGGTGAAAAAGGCAGGTGCTAGAAAGTGGCAAGGAAATTCTGGCAGCAAAACTCTTTCTGCCAGACTAGAAAGATTTTTATAGCACTGAGTATATATTTTAATGTGGTATCACAGAGTGACAGAATCATCAAGGTTGGAAAAGACCTTTAAGATCATCAAGTCCAACCGCCAACCCAACACCACCATGGCCACTAGGGGTACTAGGGTATCTATTTCTTTTTCACCTTGAAACAAAAGCTGAATTTCTTCTTGTGTTTCTATTGCTGTGCTGAGCTCTAACAAGCAGCTAGCTTACAATTCTGCCCTATTTCACTGCTCAGGCCTTCTGTTTTCCTGGACATTTTCCCCTGGATTTCTCCCCCTTCGGATCTTCAGCAGTAACTATCAGCTGAGGTTTCTGATAGAAGTGAGATGCCTAAGGTCACCTAAGCCCATTTTTATATAGGCTCTGTGTGACTTTATTCACCACTGGTAGTTACCTCAGCTCTGCCATTGACATCAACAGCACAGCTGATAAGGCATTAGCAGTAAAGGGAAATTTTGGCAGAAAACACCTTGTTCGTTCACTACTAGCGTACTTAGGAACAGAGCTTTGTCAGTATGTAACCCTTCGCAGTTATAAATACTTCAGTGTTTCAGTTTAAAAATTAATATAACAATGACAGGGCTACATAAGGCTCAAAGGCAAATGAGATTATTCAGCTGCTGAAAAGTCTAAAGAAATAACAGGAAGATTATCCCAGTCTATGAAGATTATTCCCAAGTATTTGTTTTCCATGAACTGATGTCGAAATACTGTTAACCATTTAATTTACCATGGCAGTGTTAAAAAGTGGATGCTTCCCGAGGTTCTTAAAACCAATCTAACCTATATTTGCTGAAATACTTGGCAAATCTTACAAAAATCTTGACATATTTGGAGACGTGAACAGAACTAGATATAGCCTGTAAGTATGGCTTAGCTTCTTGTAGTAAATTCAAATTTATAAACTCTAAAGTAAATTAAGACGACATGTGAACACCGTTTTGTGTACTTCAGCCTATATAGCCACGATGTAATTAGGCACCGGTTTTAGGCATCAGTTCCAAAAAAGCATTTATGTCAGAAAAAATGTAAACATTCAGAAATTTTTGCTGAACTAGTGGGTTCTTTTCCTCTTTTCCTAAGATAGGTGGGTTATGAGAATGATGTGCAAACTTGATATATTTACGTTGTTACAAGTTGGGTTTTGTGCTGTGTGTTATGAATGCGTGTGGGTCTATATCTTTAATGACATGTAAGCCTTGTAGATCATTTTAGCCACATTTGACAAATAGGTAGAGCCCTTAGAGATTATTTTGCTCCTGCAAGTGTTGTGAAACTTTGCAGTAGTAACCCCACTAGGAGAGAAGCTGCAGGATGAGTTCACAACTCGTTACACGTCAGTTAATCCGCATGGGAATGATCGTCTATAAATCCTTCAGCTGCAGGGAAAGCAAACACACAGACAAACAAACTTCAGCTGGTGATCACAATCCACTGGAAATCAGGCTTCATTAGTTACACTGTTCCTGGAACTACTGTTTTTTAGAAAGATTTAAGAAACAAAACATAACACAACTACACAGAGTGAACCTATGGATTTACCCAAAGGCATTGGTGATTTGGAGCCAAGAGAGAAAAGCAAACAGGTTTCACAGCTGATGATCTGTGAGCACTGTGCTTGCTCCTGGCCAGGTGTCTGGGTGTAGGCAGCTCTGCAAGCAGACAGAGGACCCTGATGCTTATTTATTCCTGCAAACTTGATGCTGTTATTTTAAAAAATAGAAGCGCCGAGGATAACTCGGGCTTTGTTTTCCCTTCCGCCTGTTCTGAGGTGGAGAGGACTGTGGGATGTTTTTAGTCTTGGCACACAACTGCAGAAAAGTCAATCTGTCACAGTCGAGCAGATTTAATATTAGTCATGAATGAGATCATGCTTTGCGTACAGTAAGAGTTATTATTTATGGTACAGTGAGCCACTGCAAGAGCTTGTGGGAAGTCATGACTAATTGTATACAGTTCCATAGCTGCCAGGGATGGATGAACTCTTTCTTTTACCTAGGGCCAGCACTAATAAGTTAACCCATGACCTCTCCTCCTCTAATTTCCTCCAGCTTGTTCACATTCTCAGCAATTTAAAGGAAAAAGCAAATCCCACAAATTTCTGTACTTTGCTACCAGCATTGAAACGTGCAAACAAGCAAAGCATTCACATAGGTTGTCCAGCTGGAGCATGGGTTGTTCAGTGGACCACAGAAAGATGTATGTCCAAGGCCAGTCACTCTCATCAGAACTGCTTGTGTGAATAAAGATTTTGCAGGGCTGTGTCTTTTGATTAAAAGAAAACAGTGAATTGAAGGAAAAGCAGCAGGAACTTCATTTGACCTGGCTCATACTGAAGTGGAATTCCTGCAGAATATGTTATATTATCAGAATTAGTGATTCAGATTACAATTTTTTTATGACATTTGAGTGAGGTATGTGTATGTATGTATACATTGGAAAATATATTATTGCTGACTTCTTAAAGTTGAATGCCATCGTTTGCAATAAAACCTACAGCATTTCTATGTTACCTTTGCTGTGATGTGAATGTGTGGAATTCAAATGATATATCACGTCACGTCTTATATTTGACAGTATAAATGTTTTCTCAGTCTGTTTTCCCATGTACTTTTAAAACGTGGAATATGTTGTTGCTGTATATGCAAAACAATCCATAATAGAAGTGGGGAAAGGCTTAATTAGGTATCCTCAGTAAAAACAACCAAAAAATGAATCTCTGTGAAGCACTGGTAAAAATATTTATATTTTAAATTACGGAAAGGAAGAATTAAGGATAGGATGAGATCAAATAAACAGAGTTGAAAATGAAATTCAAAGGCCACTATTTGAAGAAAGGACAGTAACTATGCCAGTTTGGAGTCCAGGTTTATTGAGGAGTATATGAAAAAGTATGCCTCAAATGACCAGTTTCCTCTGACAAGATTCTAAGTTCATTTTCTTTCATGCTTGGTTTGCTCTTGTTCAGAGCCCTAGAGCAACTGACTCCCAAACTCTCGTCCACAGTCTCTGAGGCCACCATAAATAGCTTGTATCCGGTTTGTGAAACCATGTCAGCCCTCCAGAGGTTTTAAGGTAAAGTTCAGACATAACGGTGGTATAGAGTGCTCTGCTGGCCCCCTGGAGATGTGACTGTGGTCCACTGGTCCAGAAACTTGGTGGCGCACCTGCCTTTGAGAGCATTATGAGCTTTGGCCCCATTTGGAAAAGCAGTGTGAACGTGCTTATTTGCTGCTGGGTTTGAATAGGGACTTCACCAGGAGCCTGCCACTGGCAGGCAGGGGGCACCTCAGGACAGGGCTGGGAGAGAGCCTTGGGTATACATCACCTTGCAAATTGTCCTCTCGGGTTCCCAGGCACATCATCGTGAATTTTCAAGGGGAAATGAGTGGAGCTAATTAATGTCCTTCAGCAAAAATAGGTTCACATCCTCTTTCTTACCTTTTAACTGTATGCACTGTTAGTGGAACAGGGAAATGCTTACATTCAAGTGATATAAATTGCTTTTCAAGATGTAGTCCACTGAGGTGTTGTGTACTGACAAAGAACGGCTGACACATTTTATCAGATATTTCTCTCCTTTTAGCCCTTAAGGAAAGTAAAATCTCATCACATTGCAATATGAAAAAGTGAGAGCAGTGTTGATATGAAAATACCAAAAGACCTTCTAGAATGTAATGTTTTAGGACTGGATAAAACCCTTAGGATAGTATTATACTATATATATGCTTCACAGATCCCATGCAACACCTATGGGAGCAGAGGTAATTAATGTGGATGCATCTAAAACTACGTCTTCGACTTACCTTGCGATGACAAAGAGGACACAACTGACTCCAAGGCAGGCTAGGAGAACATACATCCAAATATCAGGAGAAAGAGGGTTTAAAAAGGAGAAAACACCAGGGTTTGTCCCATTGGGCTTCCGGTACAAGATACTGATTCCCAGCGTCATGAAGGGCTTCGAAAAATCAATTACTTTCTCTCTTACATAGGTAATAGTGAGAGGAGCAACTGCCAGATCAGCTTTCTGAAAATACAAATGGGAAAACACTTATTCTTTTTCCTGTTCAGCAAACACACTACTGTTCTTCCATTTTTTCCCCCAAGTCTTAAAAACTAAACCAAATTTGACTATAAATCGGAAGTGCGTGACTGAATTTAACATTGCTAGGGTGTTATGTGGTATATGATGGTCTGTCTCCTCTTTTTGCAGGCAGAGGGATGTTTGTGACTTTCATGGGAGTAGGAGAGGTACGACCAGGGATGCAGGGCTCGCTCCTGCATGACTGGGCAGACTGTGAGCAAGGACTGCCAGAGTATCTGGGCAGGGACTACGTCCACAGCTCAGAGGTTGTCACAGGGCAGAGGTGAGCTGGAAGCTCAGCCTTTGCCATTGGAGTTTGTAGCCAAGGGGTGGTCAGGACCTGTTGCCCCACTGCAGATGGAGGTTCCCCCCAACAGCTGCAAACTGTTGGTTCAGACATACTGACGTGACTCCTTACTCTGACAAATGGCAATAAAGACAGACCAGTGAAAATTAAAAAATGAAAACTAAAGCAAACATTTCATTTGGGCTGGCTTCATCTAAAATACCACAGGTGAAAGGAGAATAAATAGAGAAGGATTCAATCTTACATGATCTATGAGTTCTTTGACCATTCCATTCCACTCTCCTTTGTCATTCTGGGCTCCATATTTACCATCAGAAACTAGTTTGACCTCATAGATGAAGCCTAAAATATTTGACAGCTCCTTTAGTAAGTCCAGGCAATAACCCTCAAATCTGTCATTTCCATACAAGGGCTTGTCAGACTTCTTGTACATAACATAGGGATCTTCCTGTAGAAGAAGACAGTAGACATGAAGCAACAGAAATGAGGTTTGTTTCAGATTATATTAGATCCTCTAAATTATGTGAAAATTTTGTAAATGGATTGCCATTAGATGGAAACTGGTAATTTACCATGTCCATTAAAAGCTGTTTTATGTGTGTTAACAAATTGACTGAATCAATTAGTGATAAGCATAAGGGCCCAAATTTTCAGTGGAACAGACCATTCATAGCTCCCAGGAGCTTTAATTAAAGTAGGGCTTAGCATCTCCAAAATCAGATCCAAGATCTGTACTCTACATTGTCTCACCCCAAGGGACAGGAAGGGATGTTGAAGGAGAGAGAAGCCTAAATAACAGAAAAAGGAGAACCTAAACCTGGATATTCTGTGAGAAATAAATCTTTATTGAAAAAAAAATCTTCAAATGTGTAAAATAGCTGTGAGTTGAGCAAATGGAGAACAGCATAGGTAGATTGCGAAGTACCTTGTTGCTTTTCTTTTTAAAGGATTTTGGATAGAAGATCAGGGCAAGCAGGTTTCTGCAATTTAATGTGGCAAAAGACCTCTGGCAATAGAAGAGGAGTGTA